TTGGAGAAGGATGGGAACGTTGGGGTGATGACAAAAAGATTTTTTCATTTTATACAATTTTCATGTATTTGTAGCTCTATAAATTACTATTACATAGTTATAAATCTATATTCCTTTTTTAAGTCTATTAAACTCTTCATGAACTCTCTTACTATTATATACATCTATAACTATAATCCTTTATTAACTCTATTATTTTCCCTAACCTTTTTCTTTGATTTTAGAAAAATAAGCTGATTGTCTAAATGCATTCCTGAAATACATATAGTATACAATACATATAGTATCCTGTATAGTCTTATTATCAGGAAGAGGACCTACAAGAAGAAGATTTTGGTTTTTGACCAGAATGTGAGCAGTCAGAATAAAAAGTGAAGGCAAAGAAGCCCTTGGACCTACTCCAATGGATTGAGCCAGGGGTGTGTAACTGGGGTAAGTGAATCTCCTATTGGATGTTCCTGTTAAATTTCCTAACTAATCAACCTTAATAAATTGTTGAAATCAGGCCCCAGGTGTGCCCCATCCCCACTGGGACACCTGGAAGCTTCCAATTAATGTCTGGTTTTTACTTCACTCTTCTAACGCTGTTGCAAGGGTTTTTTTTTTTTTTTTTTTCTCTTTTGATTATAAAAAAACAAGGGGATGAGAGAAGCAGAACAGGAATTGTAATCCCAGAATCCCAGGACATTCTGAGTTGAAAGGGACACACAGGATCATCAAACTAATGTTTGAACTTTTACAGGGACTGCAGAACTGTAAATTCAGTTGATCAGTGTCTCTGCTGGGAGCCTCCCAAAGGGCCCTCAGCCACTCCTCAGCCCTGGACAGCAGCAGCATCACCTTTGCAGGGCCCAGCAGGGCTCTCCTGAGCTGCCCTTGCCCAGCTGCACACAGAGCCTGCCCCAGCCAGGGCCCTGCACACAGGCAGGTTTCTGTAGGGCCCCAGGCAGGGCACACAGGCTGGGATGGGCTCTGTGAGCGCTGGCAGGGACAAGGCTCCTCTCAGGAGGGAATGTCCAGGCCCAGGGAGATGCTCAGGGAAGCAGAGGGGGCTGAAGAGAGCAGTGCTGGGGCAGGAGGGCACTGTTGGTGTGTGGGAGGTGCCGGGCACAGCTGGGCACGGGAACACTGTCCTGAGTGCCTGGCTGTCTCTGCCCTGCCCTCTCAGGCACAGCACCACAACATCTGCTCTTGGTTCTGCACTGCCCTGACATTGGCACTGTTATCTGCTGCTCTCAGGGAGGCTCTGGCATTTGCAGCAGCTGAGTCAGGCACTGCCCTTGGCATTCCTGCCAGGCAGGGGTGTCCATGGGAATGGGGTGTCCAAGCTTCCCTGGCACCTGATGGGCTGTGGGCAAAGCAGTCTATGGCAAAGAGGAATGAGCTGAGCCCCCTCCCTGAGATCCCATCATGGGCACAACCAGGGATCTCCTTGCTGTGCCCTGCCAAGCTCTGAGCTGCCCTCCTGGGTGCAAATCTGTGCCAGAGCCTCTGGGAGTTCCCTGAATGTCCCACGGGGAAGGGCAGAGCTGCACAGCTGAGGAAATGCTGCTGGGTTTGCCAAGGGAGCCGGGAGTGTCCTTGGCACAAGGGGGTGCTGAGACCTTGCCCAGAGACCTTTAGAGAAGGTGAGACATTCAGGGATCCCTCTGCTCTGGGCAGGGTCTGGTTTATCCCAGGGTAGCTTGGGAGTGTGACTGTGCTCTAATTCCAGCCAAAGGTTTTCCCACAGCAGGAGGAAGGGTGAGTGAGTTCTAGCTGTAGGGACTGTCTACAGGGAATGGGGCAGGTTTGGCTCCAAGCAGCCTCTCCTGACTTGTCACTGTCCTTTCTCCATGAACAGGGGCCCACGTGCAGCCCCAGCAAATGTCCAACAGCGGCTGCATCAGGCACTTCCTCTGCTGGCATTGGCAGACACGCGGCAGCTGCAGCTCCTGCACTTCTGCCTCTTGCTGGGCATCTCCCTGGCTGCCCTCCTGGGCAACAGCCTCATCATCAGCGCCGTAGCCTGTGGCCACCACCTGCACACGCCCATGTTCTTCTTCCTGCTCAACCTGGCCCTCGCTGACCTGGGCTGCATCTGCACCACTGTCCCCAAAGCCATGCACAATTCCCTCTGGGACACCAGCAACATCTCCTACATTGGATGTGCAGTCCAACTATTTTTTTTGTCTTTTTCATTGCAGCAGAGTCTTCCCTCCTGACCATCGTGTGCTACGACCGCTACGTGTCCATCTGCAAACCCCTGCACTACGGGACTCTCCTGGGCAGCAGAGCTTGTGCCCACATGGCAGCAGCTGCCTGGGCCGGTGCCTTTCTCTATTCCCTGCTGCACACGGCCAATACATTTTCTCTGCCCCTGTGCCATGGCAATGCCCTGAGCCAGTTCTTCTGTGAAATGCCACAGATCCTCAAGCACCCCTGTTCCAAATCCTACCTCAGGGAACTTGGGTTTCTTATGGGTAGTGCTTTTCTGTTACTTGGCTGTTTTGTGTTCATTGTTTTCTCCTATGTGCAGATCTTCAGGGCTGTGCTGAGGATCCCCTCTGAGCAGGGACGGCACAAAGCCTTTTCCACCTGCCTCCCTCACCTGGCTGTACTGTCCCTGTTCATCAGCACTGCAGCATTTGCTCACCTGAAGCCCCCCTCCATGTCCTCCCCATCCCTGGATCTGGGCCTGTCAGTTCTGTACTCAGTGGTGCCTCCAGCCCTGAACCCCCTCATCTACAGCCTGAGGAACCAGGAGCTCAAGGCTGCAGTGTGGAGACTGATGATTGGATGCTTTCAGAAACATTAAACTGCTGGCCAGTTTCTGCAAATCACTTGTATTAAAACTAATCCTTGGTACTTCTTGTTGGTTGGTTATAGGTGTTTTTTCCTTTGTTTCAATTTTTAAACTATTTTCCACAAAGAAATGTCATTCTAGGTGCCATTTCTCATTTTGTTTCTCTCCACCTTCCCTGTGGCCACAGACTGTGTCAATGAGGGGCTGTGCTCTTGGTGGCTTTAAAGGAATGAAAGGATCTCTCCCAGCAAAGTTTTCTGCAGATGCCCTTTGTTTGCCTTCTCTGGAGCTGCAGCAGCAATGTCTGTGTGCAGAGCTGGGGGCAGATCAGTGCTGACCCAGCAGCAGCAGCAGCACTTGGTGTTTTCAATGCTGCTGCCGTGGCCCTGCCCCGCTGCCCTGGTGGCCCTGGTGTTGCTGCAGGGCCTGAGTGCTCTCGGGGCTGGGCACAGCCCTGGGGGTGGCAGTGCCGGGGCTGCAGCAGGGACAGGCCATGGGCACTGCTGGGGCAGCGCTGACGCCTCAGCCCAGGCCCTGGGGGCTCCAGGCTCCTTGCCCAGGCTCTCTCAAGAACACGGCCAGGCCAATGCTCAGCACAAAAAACCCCCGTGAGCAGCCCCAGGCTGGCCGTGGGCAGGCTGGGGGCAAACAGCATGGCTGGGGCTCTGCAAGGGCCCTGGGGGAGATGGGAAGGAGCAGCAGAGCAGGGGCTGATCCATCCCCAGTGCGCTGCACAGACCAGGGCAGCGTCCCAGAGCATCCTCATGCAGCTGCCAACAACATCCCCCCTCTGCAGCCCTGGCCTCTCCCCCAGCTCACACAAGGAAGGTGCTCCATTCTTGCAGGCACAGACACGGCAGCACTGGCTCAGCAGCCCCTGTTTGCATTGCTCACAGCAGGCAGGAGCCCCCCCATGCTGTTGCTGTGGGGACATGAACCTGAGGGAGCACAAATGCCATCAGCCCCTGGGGCCAGCAAGGGCTGGGGGACACCAGGGAAACCACTCAGCTTTGTCCTGGCCTCTGCAGTCAGCCAGAAAGTTTGTCCCCATCAGCTGGGAGTTTCCTGTGCCACTGCAGACACTGCTGCTCAGAGCCAGGGCTGCCTGGCAGCCACCCCTAAATTGCCTTGAGCATTTCCTTTGCTTCACCTTTGCTTTCTTTACTCCTCCTCCTACAAATTTCTTCCTCTTTCCTACCCCAGGGGGCCCAGAGATGGACACAGCATTTGAGGTCTGTGGAGAGCTTTGTGGACAGTTGGCTAGCTGAGAAAGGTCACCTCGACCTAGTACCGTTGGTTAAGTTAGAAGAAGGCAATTCTAGGATTCAGCAGTCAGCGTCCAACCAGTGACAAGGACATTGTGCCCTTGGTGCAACAGCAGGATTGAGGAGAGGATCTTTTGCCAGAAATATAGGATAGTTTCAGCAGAATAACCACAAGAATGTAGAAGCAGTAACAAAATAACCATAAGAATATAGAAGTAGCCGTGGTTGACTGATAAGTAATTAACCAATAATGAGCTCAGCTTTGCAATATGTATAAGCTTCATTAACACCAATCTAAATATGTGTGAACTAGCAATAAAGTTCGAGACTTGCTGATCACGCATATTGTGTGTCGCATTTCTTCCGCCGATCCAACAAATGGTGACCCTGCGACGTGATACCGGCAACGGCAACCACGGTGAATCGGTGTAGGACTTCGGTCCTGTCGCAGCAAGGACGGCGAATAAGCACCGCTGAAAAAGGGAAGGTGCCGTGCCCTGGGTGACCTCAACGGAGAGCCCGGCTGATACGTGCTGCCGAGACCTTGTAGGGCTGCAACAGCGCTGACGTTTTTAAAATGGATAGAGAAAGGCAAGCAGCATAGGATTTATTTACTTGCTTTTTACAAAAGCGTCAGGTTAAGGGCATAGATTTGCAGAAAGAGCTTCCTGGGTTGTTAGCTTATGGGTATGAACAGGGAGTTTTTCAAAATCCTCATACAGTACATGAGTTAACGGAGTGGCATAAATTTGGGCACAAGCTGTGGGAGGCAGTCATAGATGATGATAAAACTGCAAAAAAGTTGGGAAAGCTGTGGCGGGTTGTGCATGATGAGTTATTACAATATCAGGCAGAAAAGAAGGCTGCCCAGCAAGCTAGCGTGGCGCATGAAAAGAATAAGAGTTATGGGGACTGGTTTAATTGTCTGTTACCCCCTGCCACATCTACAGTCATTTTGCCACCAACATCGGCTCCTGCTTCAAGCAGCAGCTCACCCCCCGTGCGTGCTACAACAGCACCGTCCACACCGCCTGTGTCAAACCCTCCATCTCCTCCTCCTAGTAATGAGCTGATCCCTTGGTCAGAGAGTGGCCTAGTCGGGGCCATTGCACAGGGGCGAAGGGAGGCATGGGCAGCGGTAACAAAGAATATCATGGATACGGGGGATGAGGAGGCTATAAATGCAGCTATGGATGTTGCTTGTCCGGTGATATATTCTCCTGTGGCAGGAGGCGGGTTTCAAGCAATAATAACTGCTCTAGACTGGAAGTTGTTGTCACAATTATGGTCCACAGTTAGTCAATTTGGGGTAACCGATGAGCCCACAAAACAAATGCTTGATTATATCTGGGGGACTCAGGTTTTGCTGCCAACTGATTGCAGAGGAATAGCAAAGCTTATCTTCACTCAGCATCAGCAGCTCTTGTTTAATGCGCACTGGCAGTCACTCTGTCAGGAATGCGTAGCAGTAGCACGGCAGCCAGGTGACCCTAGAGGAGTTAATAGGTCAAGGGCCTTTTCTTCGGACAGAAGCACAAGCCTTACTCGGTCCTGATAAGTGTCGGGAGGCTATGCGCCTGGTGCGGTTGGCTATAGATAGGATAAAAGAGCCAGGGGGGATTCCTTCTTATATGGGAATAAAGCAAGGGAGAGATGAGTCATTTGGATCTTTTATAGATAAGGTAGCCAATGCTACTGAGCGGGCAGGAGTCCCTGATTTCATGACAGGTACTTTGTTAAAACAATGTGCACTCCAGAACAGTAATCAGGCTACGAGGAACGTATTAAATACCCTAGGAGCTAATTGGTCTATAGAAGAAGCTTTAGAACGATTGGCGAATGTGCCCGTAGGGAATCAAGCAATGTTAGTAGATGCTATTAAGGAGTTAGGAGCAGGATTACAAAAACAGGCAGAAGCCTCACAGAGTCAGGTGTTAGCTGCTCTTGCCCCCCTACAAGCAGCAGCAATAAATACTCCACGGGGTTCATCTACTGGCTGATTCAAATGTTACCGGTGTGGAGGTATAGGACACACGTGACGGGCTTGTCAAGCAGCCAGCGTCTGGTGCCAAAATTGTCGCTTGGATACCCACAACAGCAGAGCCTGCCAACGCCGCTCGGGAAACGGGAAAGCCAGCGCATCCACCAGCCGCCGCGCCCAGACACAAGTAGCTGCTGTCAACACCTCAGCTCAGCTTCCCTACAAGCAGCCACCGCCAGGAGCCTCGGGCTGAACGTGGCAGCCTCAGTAGCAGTAACATTGATGACCACCTAACAGGAAAAGGTTCCGACTGGAATAAAGGGACCAATCATCATTGATGGACAACTTATGGGAGCTTTGCTCCTGGGACGATCATTGGCCACCATGATGGGATTGTTTGTTTTACCTGGGGTAATAGACGCTGATTATACCGGGGAAATTTCTGTTATGGTGCAGAGTCTTTTTCCACCTATACAAATCGAGAAAGGACAAAGGATAGCTCAGTTGGTTCCTTTGGAACAAATGGCTAAAACTTTACCCCCTCGTCAATCACAGTCGAGAGGGGAGCGAGGATTTGGTTCCACTGGAGGACTTACTTTATTAACAATGAACCTGAATGACCGACCAAAGCGCACTGTAATAATGGAGTATCGGGGTGGGAGGCAAACCTTGGAAGGATTTTATTGGATACTGGGCGGACTCCAGCCTTGTTAGTCCGGATTTCTGGCCCCACAACTGGCCATTACAGACAACCACAGTGACAGTTACCGGGGTTGGAGGCCTAACACTTGCAAGAAAATCACCCATGTTATCGGTAACTATTGATGGAAAAACTTTGTGGAGTGTTTTCTCAGTTGTACCTTTGCCCGCTACTGTACAGTGTCTTGTTGGTCGGGACATTTTGCCTCAAATGGGAGTAGTGCTGACAAATGAGCACCCTTTAGGCTAATGGCCATTGCATGGACTTTCCCAATCCCATTAACTTGGACCACAGACGTTCCAGTGTGGGTTAAGCAGTGGCCGTTAAAAAGGGAAAGTCTGGAACAAGTTCATATACTAGTACATGAACAATATAAGCAAGGTCATTTACAGTTGTCAACAAGTCCATGGAATACCCCTATCTTTGTTATTAAAAAGAAGTCCGGGAAGTATCGCTTACTACATGATTTGCGGGCTGCGAATGAACCAATGGAGCCTATGGGAGCCTTACAACCAGGATTACCTAACCCGGCTATGTTGCCAAGGGACTGGCCACTTTGGATTGTTGATCTTAAGGACTGGTTTTTTACTATTGCTCTTCACCCTCGAGACACTCGGAGGTTTGCCTTTACCTTACCGGCGTTAAATAGGGAAGAGCCAGACACGAGATTTGAACGGGTTTCTCTTCCGCAGGGGATGCGCAACAGCGCCACCTTGTGTCAACCTTGTGTCAATGCTTTACAACCTTTGCGGCAGGCCTGGCCTGAAACAATCATTTATCATTATATGGATGAGATTTTATTTGCACAGCCACAACCTTTTACAGGTCAACAAATTCAAAAGATACATGATGCCCTGAAACTACATGGATTGGCTGTAGCTCCTAAAAAATTCAATTATCTGCACCTTGGAAATATCTAGGATGGATACTTACTGATCAAATTGTTACCCCCCCCAGAACTTGCAATTAAATATTAAAATACATACATACATACCTGATCAGATACGGATACCAATGAAGAAACATGCATTGACCTGGTACCTGACAAACAGTATGGAATTACAAGAGGCTCTGTTGGGAGCCGGTAGCGTGATTGCCACTGATGATATTCCCAATATACTGTTGAATTGGGTAGGGCAATGGGGTTGGATTCAATACGCAAAAAGATCACAGAAGCCCCTGTTGGATGCTATACCAGTCTATATGGATGCAGGAAGAAAATCCAGAACGGCTGCAGTAACCTGGCAGGAAAAGGGACAATGGCACCATCAGATTCTCCAGGCTTCTGAGTTGGATACTTTACAAACGATGGAGCTGTTGGCTGTTGTATGGGCCATGATGCACTTTTCTGGGCCTCTCAACATAGTGACAGATTCTGTGTATGTTGCAGGAGCGTGTGAGCGAATAGAAGATGCCTCTATAAAAGAGGTTCAAAACAGGAGGTTCCATGAGCTGTTTATACAGTTGCAGAGGGCAATTAAGCTGAGGAAACATCTTTTCTCTGTTATCCATATCAGAAGTCACAAGTGGGCTATTGGTCTAGGAGAGGGTAATGCGCGAGCACATAAGCTAGTCTCAATCACACAAGCGACTCCAATTCCCAGGCAGACTATGGCCAGAGAGGCACATTCCATGTTTCACCAAAATGCAAAAGGCCTCCATAGAGAATTTCAGATATCTATGGAGGAGGCACGGGCAATAGTCAAAGCCTGTGCCATATGTAGTCATCATAATGGGGGCTGCGGGTTAGGTCGGGGAGTTAACCCAAGAGGGCTGAACACAAATGAGACCTGGCAAATGGATGTCACACATGTTGCTGAGTTTGGAAGGATGAAGTATGCGCACGTTACCGAAGACACTTACAGTCATTTTATATGGGCCACAGCACAAACTGGTGAGAAAGCAGGGCAGGTGGAGAGACATCTCAGTAGTTGTTTTGCAGTAATGGGAGTGCCACGGCGCATCAAGACAGATAACGGGCCTGCTTACTGTAGCAAAAGAATAGAGCAGTTCATTCAATTGTGGGGGACAGAACACGTGACAGGCATCCCTAATTCTCCTACAGGGCAAGCAATTGTAGAGAGAGCAAATGGTACCTTGAAAAGATATCTGGGTAAATACACCCATATCAGAGAGCCACAAGAAAGATTGTTAAAGTGTTTATTTGTTTTAAATCACTTGTGTGTTTTGGGGGAAAGTAAAGTTCCTGCTGTAATTCGCCACTATGTACAGAAAAAGATGATGTGAAGCAAGATGTATGGGTAAGATACAGAGATCCTAAAACAGGACAATGGAGAGGAGGAGGCACCAAAAGCAAAGGGTAGCTGGGCTTCACTGTTCTGCAGGAATTAGGGGTGGGGAGCAATCTCCCACCCTGTCTGCAGCTGCTCCCACGGGGATGTGAGGGCTGATCCCAGAGCCCCAAGGGTCACAGTCAGGGCTGCCCTCAGGGAATGCTCACCTGGTATTGAGGGGCAGCGTGAGAACACCTGGATCTTGGGGCACCCAGCTGCTCCCCATGTTTGGAGGTGTCTGAGGAGGGCTGGGACAATGCCAGGGCCATCCTGCAGTGACATCCCTCCTGTCCTGCTCTGGGTGAGCTCAGTCCCAAACGTGACCCTGATCCTGGTCTCAATCTCACTCCACGTTTAGACACACTCACAGTTCTGTATTTAATCACATCCCAGTTCCAAACTTGTCTAGCCCCAGACCCAGTCCCAACCCCAGCCCTAAAGCCAATCCCATGTCTAGCCTTAACCCCAATCCCAGCTCTAATCCAAATCTCAGCCCCAAGTCCAACTCCAGCCCCAATTTCAGCCCCTTCCTAAATCCTCAGCCCCAAACCAAATCCCAGGTTCAGCCCTTCTGGGGCTTTGGGGGTGTCTCTGTCCCTGTGACCCCGATGATGTTTGGGTGGGGTCACAGCAGGGCTGAGAGGGACAGAGACCCCCCCGGCCTCCCCAGGTGTGAGAAGGTGGCAGAGCCCCCCCAGCCCCGAGCAGCCTCAGCGGTGAGAGGGACACAGAGCCCCTGGTGCCCAGCCCTGCACAGGCATTCCCTAAGGCCAGAGGGATGGAGACCCCCCTGAGCATCCCGCAGGGTGAGGGGACAGAGACCCCCGAGCATCCCCTGGGCTGAGAGGGACAGAGACTGCCCCGAGCACCCCCTGGCACAGGGGTGAGAGGGAGGGAGACCCCCCAGGCATTCCCTGGGGTGAGAATGATGGAGACCCCCTGGGGAATGGCCTGGGGTGACAGGGGCACCCCCTGGGAAATGGCCTGGGGTGACAGGGACAGGGACAACCCCCCCAGGCCCTCCCATGCATCCCCCAGGGTGAGAGGCTCAGAGACCCCTCGAGCATCCACTGGGCACCGGATGAAG